AGCTCGCTCAACTCCTCCTGTGCGTCACCCTCGTCGTTCGCGATGGCCCTGAGGGTCGCGATGTCTGAATCATCTGACGTGCTGCCTTCGCTGTCCACCATGATTGGCTGAGCTGGGAGTGCATCTGGTACGAAGTTAACGCACCCGATGATGTCGGGTGCCTCATTCCCTGGCATCGTGCAGCAAGCAAAGTACCAGGGACACGTGACCCCAAGCAAAGTCAAGTCGATGACGGTCGCCTGCATACGATTGTGGCCCAAACAGTAATGCGGGGGGTCCACCGAGATGTTGACGGGTGCTATCATCACAGGCTTGTCGATCTGAAATTGGTCGTGAGCCAGCTGGGTCATGGTGCTGTTGCAGTTGTAGCAGTGCCACGCAGGGAAGTCCATCACCCCAGACGGACTTTGAGCTGGCGACCATCTCATCCGCCGATCCTCGGTCTGCACGAACGACGTATCTGCAAGGACTGTCCTAGGGCAGCAAAGTGGGAGCACGTTGACTGGTGGCGGCGGTGGTTGACGACCCCCCGTCGGTGACCTCGGGTAACTCGTGTCGGCATAGAGCGCATCAACATCAACCCCCGCGCGCGTCAGCCAGCCTTCGACGTCCTCGTCGCTGCTGTATGGCGTTCTGCAGACGGGGCAGCTGAGAGGGTGGATGGGTCCTCTGGTAAGCCACAAAGCTAAACGCATGGCGTGCACGCCATGATGGCACGAAGGCGTGAACTTGGCAGCGTCCACAACTGTGTCATCGAAGGGCTCCTCGCAGATACAGCACGTCATGATTGAGCCAAAGCGGCTGCGGAGGTGGAGGTGGAGGTGGAGGTGGACTTCGAGTGTGCATGGGTTTGAGCTGGTCCGAAATTTCAACCGTCCCTTTTGGGGCTATCTTGGGCCGCCTTTGGGCAGCCTTGAGGCCTCGAGGGCCCATGAGAGGCGAAGTAAAAGCGAGAAGGTAAACAACATTGGTTTTCTGAGTATGCATGGCCGTTTAAACCCGCGCGGCCCTTTTAACCCGCATGGCCGTTTTAACCCGCGTGCCTGGTTTGACCCGCGTGGCAGTTTTATCCCGCATGACCCTTTTAACCCGCGCAGCAGTTGTAACCCGAATGGCCGTTTTAACCCGCATGGCCGTTCTAAGCCGCATGGTTGTTTGAACCCTCATGGCCGCTGTAACTCGCATGGCCACTTTACCCCGCGTGGCCGTTTTAACCCGCGTTGCCGTTTTAACCCGCATGGCTGTGTTAACCCGCATGGCCGTTTTAACCCGCACGGCCGTTGTAACCCGCATGGCCGCGTTAACCCACGTGGCCGCGTGAACCCGCGTGGCCGTCGTAACCCGCATGTCCGTTTTAACCCGCATGGCCGTCTTAGACCGCATGTCCGTTTAACCCGCATTGCCTTTTAAAGCCGCATGGCCGTTTTAACCCAACTTGCAGTTTTAACCCGCATGGCCACGTGAACCCGCATGACCGTCTTAACCCGCATGGCTGTTTTAACCCGCATGGCAGTTTTAGACCGCACGAACGTTGTAACCCGCATGGCTGTTTTAACCTGCATGGCCGTCTCAACCCAACTGGCAGGTTTAGCCCGCGTGGTCGTTTGAACCCGCATGGCCGTCTTAACCCGCATGGCCGTCTGAACTTGCATGGCTGTGTTGACCCGCATGGCCGTTGTATCCCGCATGGCCCGCGCGACAGTTGTAACCCGAATGGCCGTTTTAACCCGCATGGCCGTTCTAACCCGCATGGTTGTTCTAACCCGCATGGCTGGTTTAACCCGCATGGCCGTTGAAACCTATCTGAGGCAGTATTGAGCCTCTCTTGGTCCGTCTTGGCACCCTCTTGGGTTTCCCTTGGGCCTTCTTGGGCTGTCTTGGGGTCCTCTTGGGCCGTCCCAAGGCTCTCTTGGCAGCATCTTGGGCCGTCTTGGAACGATTTGGGAACCGTCTTGGGCCGTTCGTGGCCCTTCGATGCGGTAACCTTGATTCGCAGATTTCCCTGCTGATCGTTTCTGGATGGGCTGGTGGGGATACGCGAAGCGTCAAGAATGCTTCAGGAAGCGCCCGAACGAACTGCTTGTTTTTTTTTTTGGTTTCCAAGGGGGGATGGGGGAGGGTTTGCGCGGCGATGGTGTCGTCGCCGCTTTCCCTCGCCGCCCCCCGTCTGATCCGCCCGCTGCTGAGGGGCCCCCTCCTCTTCCTACGGCGCGCGAGCGGGGCGCAGCAGCCTCGAACATGTCGACGTCCGCGCCACGGGGCAGCGGGGGGGCGGGGAGTGGGGCGGTGGGAAGACGCCCCGTTCTTTCCTCCTCTCCCTCGGCGCGCCGCTGCGGCATTCTTTTGGCCTCCTCCTCCTCCTCCTCCTCCTCCTCTTCCTCCTCCTCCTCCTCCTCCCCCTCCTCCTCCTCCTCCCCCCCTCTCCCTCATCCTCCCATTCCTTCTCCCTGTTGTTTGCCAGCCTCGTTTGAGAAAAACTGCCCCACACCCCCCTCAACTTATTCATGCTCATCCACCTCCTCCGCCCCCTGCCCCTCAATCGCCCCCCGCATTCCATGGAAGGAATACTTCGCGCCTTTGTTTTGTTCCCTCGCTCTCGCTCAGCTCCCCCCCCCCCCACTCGTCCTGCTCTTCCTCGTCGTCGTCCTCCTCCCCTACCCCTCATTAGTTCTCATCGTCCTCCTACTCTTCCTATTCTTGGTTGCCCCCCTAATCGTCGTCCTGCATCTATTTCTTTCTGTCGCTCTCTTTCTCTGTCTTCTCCTCGTCGTGCTGTTCCTCCAGATTTCATATTCAGTTGAAGCTACTCATGGCCCTCCTCCTTCTCTCCTCATTCCTCCTCTTCTTCGTCCTCCCTCTCATCCTCGCCCCTCTCTTGCACACCCCTTGTCTTCGGTCCCCCCTGAAGGGCTGAGCGCACCTTTCACCAGAAAGAGCCCAGAGCGACACGCGAAAGCGGAACCCTCGCAGCGGGTGGAAGAGGAGCGTGGGGGTGAGCAAAATGCGGGCAGCGTGGATGATTTCGAGTTTGACCGAAGAGGGCACGGATGCGTGGATGCGTCGACCGAATGGGAAGCAGCGGAAGTTGACGAGGAGAAGTGGTGGCGTGAGCATATGTTCTTCATTCCTCCTCCGTATCGTTCTCCTTGTCCTCCCTCCTCCTCCTCCTCCACCTCCTCCCCTTCCTCCTATTCCTCATGGAGCGTCGATGCAATCAGGGGCAGCAGAGTCAAACGCCATGACTCGGAGGGGAGGTGCTCTCTTTTTTTGGCGACGTTTTTCAGGTCATCGCTCGAAGCTCGCACATGTGGCACTGACAGGGCCTGTCATGAATGCTCTGTTGTCGAAGGTGCAACACGTGACAGCTCTCACCATATCCGCATCATACCCAATGAGGGTGGTTTCATGATACCTGCGAAACTCAAGCCGCCGCGCCGACAGTCTTCTGGTGCTGACAGATGCGAAGCGCTAGCTTCCATAGTCGATCGACCTCCTCTTTGCTTGAGTGCGTCCAGGTGATCTGCAAACCCTTCTGGCCGTTGACCCTCAGCCCATCTGGAACATCAGCAGGTAGATCGAAGACGTTTGTGACGTAAAAAAATCGTTCAGCTTTTTTCCGCGACAGCGTGATCTGTATTTTGCTGGCACTGTTCACCATTTTCTCGTAGTCGTCCTCTGTGTTCGGGTCGTAGGTGTAGGTCTTCTTGCCGGCCTCGAGCTCGAAGGTGGCCGCCGCGTCAGGCGGCAACATGTCCCGTCCTGCTTGCAACATCTCGTCCAACGTCTTTCCCTCAGGCTCATGATCGCCCTCCTCCTGCGCCTCCTCAGCGGGAGCCGCCTTCTCACCAGGAGGCGCGATTTCTCCTTCGCAGGCTGCTGGCTTCTTGACAGGTGGCTTCACTTTAGGTTTAGCTGCAGCTGGTTTCTTTTTCGGTCGTGCACTCTTTTTTGGTACTCCGACAGGGACAGGGGCCAACAAGTTCTTCTTGTCGTCGCTGATATACATCGATGGAATCTCGGTAAGCATGGTATCTTCCACTCCTGCGTTCTTGAAGATGGCAACTGCAAAGCCCCCCTCGCCGCTCTTGAAACTGTCGGCCTCCAGGCGGTCCCCGTCCGACATCAGCGCGAAGGCGCGCATCTCCGTTCCCACGGGCTCGACGTACTTGAAGATGATGGTTGGTGCGTCGGCATCTGGCTCCACGTCAGCTGGGGAATCTTGATCCTCACGAAAAGCAAAGCAAGGGTGCGGCCGTGAATTCTCAGCAACAGCCATCTGGTCAGTCGCGTCGGTGGGCTCGATCATTTTGTAGATGTCCTGGAGCCACTGAGGGTGATTTTTTTTGTGACGTTCGAGCCCGATGCCAATGCCTTGTATTGATCGCACCTCTCCCGAACGTGGCTGAGCATCACTCGATACGTATATGCCATCACATCCATGGTTTGCTGAAAGTCTGTCATTTTGTTGCTGACGCCCCAGTCAAGTAGCTCCACTCTGCGATGTGCCCACCTCTGGACTAATGCATGCTTAATCTCACTTTGTTTGAAGAAACCTCCACGCTTGTCGATCTGAATGAGCGCCGTCAACGTTGTCACATGGGTGTGAAGGCCTGCGTTATCAATGTCCGACCGCATGTCGCGGCTCGCATACTCTGGGAGGGGCCCGTCTTTTGGGAAACATTCTAAGAGCATCTCGGAGAGACCATCGCACTGAAATGTGCGTGTGCGCGGGCGCTTCCTGCGCGGTGAGCTCATGCGCGTCGGATCCGTCGCGCCACTGCCGCGAGCCAAAATGGCTATGGTCACGGATGTGTAACAAAACGAAATGTCGTTCCCGTTGCAGCGTTGGCCTCATTTTCAGGGTTCCATTCGTTCCGTATTCTTCCACGTGCGGTGTTTTTACACAAAGGATTTGGGGTTTACGTTCAGAATCTTGGTTATGCCGAGCGGTGCTCTCTTCTGCTATGCCATGCCATGCTATGTCATGCTATTTGGTTGGCCATGCCCTGACTGTGCGAATTAAGTGGATCCAGGTCTACGCCATGGTAAGGGATGGGAGGGCGGGGTCGGACATCAGATAAGACGCACGCGCACCTAGCTTGCCACCTCCCACTCCCCCTCCCCCTCCCCCCTCCTCCTCCTCCTCCTCCGCCTCCTCCTCCTCTTATTCCTCCTCCTCCTCGCCCTCCTCCTGCTCCTCCTCCACCTCTTGGGGCATCTGTCTGAGTCACGGCGTGCGCGCGCGGCGAGAGCATACGCATGAAACTTGCTCGGCCGCCCTCCGTCGGACATGGGGGAGGGGGGAACGTGGGCGCGGAGGACGCGGAGGTCTCGGGGGCGGGTGACGACGATGGTGGCTGCGGCGAGGGACGGGATAAAGAGGATGGATGAGTAGGAAGAAAAGGAAACGAGGGTGGACGGAAAGGAAGAGCAGAATGACGAAGGAGGAGGAGGAGGAGGAGGAGAAGGAAGAGGAGGACGACTTTTTTTTTGTTGGAACGCGGCGGGCGGGCCATCGCACGCAGACACAAGGCGCACACAACGAACCAGCAAAATTGAGCCCTCAGGAGGCCTCCTGCCAAACCAAGCGCTATCACCGGGAAAACGGCATGAACCGAAACCCCAACCACAGCACGCTGAGGCGTTCAAACATGAACGCCAGACCTGCGAAGCACCACGCCTGCGACGCAAAGAGCGACGGGGCTGAGCGAAATATCTGCTTCACGCCAACGTTAAACAGCTTTTCAAGATAGGTGGCATTCATCGAACATGCTACGCAACAGTTTGGACAGCATAGCGATGGCGAGATACGCGAGGGCCCGCGGCTGCCGCACACAGCTTGCACAGCATGCACCTCACTGCTTACAACAAGTTTTTCAGTCATAACACGATTGTCCCGAGATCGCCCCAATGTAATTCATGTTGCATTGAAGTGGCCCGCGCGCTCACTCCTGTGATGATTTCGAATAAAACCATCGATTCGCAATATATTCGTTATACTTGCGCATGCCACTAATTTTTTAGTGGTATTCTACATGAGCAGTTCACCACTAAATTTTTTAGTTGGGAACTAATTATTTTAGTGGCACCTCTAAACTTTAAGAGAATTGATGGGCTGGGTAGCTTTTTGTAGCTCAAGGTAAGTTCTTCTAGCTTTCATACACCTAAATCTAGCTTCCAATCAGCTTTTGGGAAGCTTCTAAGTAGCTCGCTTAGTTCCGGGAAGTAGTCTTTTTTTAGCCCCCCGGGCCCCGGGGGGCCCGCGGGAGTCCCGGGAGATAGCTTGAAAACTAACTTCGAAGTAGCTTTAAAGTAGCTTCCCTCCGGCGGCCCGCTGGCGCCCGGAGGCGCCGCGCGCGGGAGTTCCAGGCCAGGCGGCGCCAGCGCGCTTTGCGAACCTGGGCCAGCCGCGCTGGCGCGTATTATTATTTCGAGCGGGGCCGCGCAGTCGCGCGTTGCGAATCCGGGCCCGGCCAAGCCGGCGCGTTTTGCATGTCCGGGCCCAGCCGCGCCGGCGCGCGCAAATTTGGTCCCGGCCGCGCCAGCGCGTTTTGCAACCCGGGCCGCGCCAGCGCGCGCAAATCTGGGCCGGCCGCGCCACCTCTCGCGGACCCCGGGCCCGCCAGAGATCCACCGGGCCAGCCGCCGGCGGGCCGGCGGGCGGGTCGCGGCGCCCCCCCTGGAGGGCACCGGCGGCCCCCAGGCGGCCCCGGGGGGGCGCCCCGAAATTGCTTTCTAAATCAACGAAATAATTTCTCCGCCCCCGCGCAAGGGCCCAGATTCACCCATCTTGCTGCGCGCTGGCCTGGCGGGCGGGGCCCCGCCATTTGCTCGGCCTCGATCAAGAAGCTGCAGCGGACAGAAACCGCCAAGCGCCATGGAGTCCGCCGGCCGCCCTGTAGACTACAAGAAGACGCCAGCGCTGCGACCCTGCATTTATGGCCCCCGACACTACGCGCTTGTTTCGCGCAGCGCGGCCCCGCGCCTGCGAACCTCAAGCAATGCGGCACAGCGCAACGCGCCTGGGATGGCCGCGGCAATGATGGTTGCAATGCAACACATTTGCAGCGCGCGTCCTGATCAACAAGCAAATTGACATTGAAATGTTATGTCTACGTTGGGAAAACTACTTCCTATTTGGCACTACTTTGAAAGTACTTTTTCCTACTTAAACATATTGGATTCGCCTTTTTGAAAAATAAATGGGAAACATACTTGTCCTATTTTTTCTATCCCATATTGATCAACATGGCTGGTTGCTGTCCAAAGATTCGTTGTCACAACTATACTATGTATCCAAGAATGCATTGGCGTTTCGCGCCACGCACTGTTGTCTTTGAGGTGTGGCATGCAGGCAAGAGGGCAATTTGCGATATGATAAACGGAACATTTAGCGATACTTCGTTGAAGCCTTTTTCTGGCATCGCCGTCGTAATGATGTTGTTCGTTATCCTTCCCGCATTGTTCCTCTTCCTTCTCACTTTCGCCCTGCCCTGTGAAGTCGTCCCCATCCTTAGTTTTTTGTTCGGAGGCTCATCCTAGGAGAGCCTCTTGTGAGTCTCGCGAAAGCTTTTAAGGCCTTGTTGGGGCCTTCTGGAAGCCTCCTGGGTTCCTCCTAGGAGCCTCTGGGAACTTCTCTGGGCCACCTTGGTTCCCACCGCGGTCTCCCTGGCCACCTGGTCCCACCGGGTCACGATTTGGAATGATTCGGGAGGCGTCTTGGGACCATCTTGGGCCGTCATGTGGCTCTCCTCGGGCCATCTTGTGACCATGTTCGGCCGTCTTGGAAATCCTCTTGGACTGCATGGAAGCCCTCTTGGTTAAACTTGGGGCGATTCTCTGGCCTCCTGGGTGATCTCGGACGCCCAGAAGACCAACGACTGAGCATTCCCAAAATCATGCAACAACCGTGGGAAATCAATGTTTGTGTGTTCGAATGCCTCTTGGGGTCTTCTTTGGGTCGTCATCGGGCGTCCAAGTGGGCGTCTGGGGCCTCTTTGGGGATCTCGTGGGGCCGTCTGGCCACCCTCCTGCCCGATTTGGGTCCGTTGCCTAGGCCCTACAGGGGCTTCAGGAGCCCCAGAAAGCACATGGGGACCGTCTGCAAGGTCCTCCAGGGTGCCCCCGGGCCAAGGATTCGGAGGGGTCCCTTTTGGGGGGGAGGGGGGCTTCGCAGGGCCCCAAATTATATAAACAAGTGAAGAATGTAAGGGGGAAAGAGAGAGAGAGAGAGAGAGAGAGAGAGAGAGAGAGAGAGAAACCCAAAAGAAACAAAGAGAGAGAGAGAGAGAGATTTAAAACACCAATGTATGGAAGTCCTTGGAAATCTCGCAGCCAAACCAGGCGGCTGCGAAAGTGGTCGCACCGCCCATTGCGCTCGGCGGCGCAGGCCATGGCCGGATATGGCCGGCACCATGGCGGCAAGCGGCACTCGGCCCCCCTCAGGGCCAGCATCGTAGGCGCAATGTTTTGCGAAGAGCGCGCCATAAAATAATCCGCTAGGCGAAAGATTGTCAGACGTGTTCAAGCTTACGTTGGCGCCCTTCGCCTCACCTCACTTCCATCCTCCCCCCCATGCCTCCGTCCTTTTTCGGCGGCCCCCTGCCCCGCCCCCCCCTCGTCCTTCACGCCGAATAGCCCTCCCGACCCAGCAAATATGCCCCCCCCCCCTCCCCTATTGGACGTCGTGCCCCATCAAGACGGGTAGAAACCGCTAAGCCCACGGCAACACGTATGGCTCCCTAAACCCATGGAGGGACACTCGACGGCCGGATGAAATACGTAGAACCATGTAGGGAAACGCCCGCGTCAGATGGGTTCCGACCCGCATTTGGAAAAAGAAGGAGCAGGAAGGCCCTTCGAGCACTTGAACTACGACGGCGCTCAAGGCACATTCGTTTACAATATCACACAGGTGCTTTACACGATGTGCAGATGATCTTTGCGAGGACCTTCAGATGTGCCCTTTCGAACTACGCAGAGGCTCGAAGACTTCCAGGGAGACATCTGTTCGTGGCGCAAGCTGCATGGCTCCCACCTGCTTATTGATTCTGCCCGCCTCCTCTGCCGTCACCGATCACCCTCCTCACAGCACCCTACTCCCTCCTCACACGTTCCTCCTCCACCTCCCTCATCCATCCACTCCTCGTACTCCTGGTCCTCCTCCTCCTCCTCCTGTTCCTCTCCCTCTCTCCCTCCCTCCCTCCCTCTCTCCCTTCACTTTCTCCTTCCCTCTGTGACACCTTTGGTCCCCCCCTCTGACCGTCGTGCTCTCCTGCCCTCTCATCCTCCCACCTTCTCCCCTTTCCCCCTCCCGACTCGTTCACTTTGGTACCTCCACTTCCTCCATATGTAGCCCCTCGTCCCTCTATTCCTTCGGAATGTGTTCTCTCACTCGCGGTCGTCGTCGGAGTCGTCCTTTTAGTTCTCGTCCTCCTCCTGGTGTTGGTTTTCCTCCTCCATCATCATCACCATCAGTATCACCACCACCACCACCACCACCATCATCATCATCATCATCATCATCATCATCAGCAGCAGCAGCAGCAGCATCAGCATCACCATCAGTATCAGCATCAGCATCAACGTCATCACCATCAACGTCAGCATCATCATCACTATCAGCAGCACCACCATCACAACCATAAGCATCACCATCATCATCATCATCATCATCATCAGCAGCAGCAGCATCATCAACATCAGCATTATCATCCTCGTCAGCATCATCACCATCAAACTTATCTGCATCATCATCAGCATCATGATCATCATCATAATAATCATCATCAGCATCATCATCCTGCTCACCCGCCCTCTCCTCCTGCAGCGCAACAAAGCCAAGCCAAACATTCTGTTTGCGCATCATACAGTGGGGTATTGTTGAGGATCAAGGTCTGGAGAACGACAAGCTCGGACGAACGACATCACGCCGACTTCCCTCGAAAACGAATCACCGTCCCCTTTTTCGTCCCGCTCTCTTAGACCCCTTCAACTCCCAACCCATCCTACCCCCTCACCATCCATACGCACACCGTTAACCTAGCCGAAACACTAAGCCCATCCCACGTCCTAAAACCCGAGAACCCATCCGAAACCCTGAGACCGTCAAAAAGCCTTCCTCCTACTCGCCCACCGCGCGACATACACACAGACTCACAATCAAATATGGATGCGAATTGCCTCTGCCAAGCAGTGTAGAAAGGGTGGGCCATCAAGGAGGAGAACGGAGGTGGAGGATGGACGAGGAGCAGGATATCAGAAGGGCTGATCGGAGGGACAGGCCGTCGTCGGCGTCCCCATGCTGTACACGCCTGTCATCTGGCTGCCGTTGCCCGTCCTGGCGCTGTGGCAGCGGGTGACCCTGCCGAGCGTCGGCGGGCCCAGCGGGCGGTACTTTTTCAGCCCTGGGAGAAGCAGCGACTCGTCGGCAACGTGGGCGGGCTGCGGGACCTCTGCTTGGCACGTCTGTCCATCGAGGCCCTCTCTCAGCATCGAAGTACCCCGCGGCTGCGCGATCTCGGGCGCCCCGCGCGGTGTCAGCTGCGGGGTCTTCAGCCGGATAGCCTCTGCATCTGCGTACGCCAGGAAGCTGTCGTCGCTGAGCCGCGCGGCCTCCGCATCTGCGGACAACATGAAGACTTCGTCGCTGCTGGCGCCGTTCTCGAAGGCCCGCTGGCTGGGGGCGCCGAGCTCGGGCGCAGAAAGCCTGTGTCGACTGGGACTGACCGCCGGCGCCGATTTCAGGCCCAGCAGCAGCGGGGAGAGCTCCATCGGTGGCGGATTGTTTCGTATCGCAGCTCCGAAAAACGGGGCTGCCACGGTATGTCGAGCCCCGGGTTTCGGCGTACCCCGTCTGTTCCGGCAGCCCGTGCCAGGCATCGCGCTTGCACGCGCCCCTGCGAAAGAAAGTCGGACTGCTCGCGAGAACTCATGCCGAAATGGCTGCGGGCCCTCTTCCCCCCCCTCCAAAACTCCCCGACCTGAGTCCTGCGTCGCTGCTCACGGAGGAAGGAATGGCCTACTCTCTTGGTTCGCTTTCTGCCACTTCGCAGACAACTCCTCACACTAACTGGTTGGTGCCCCTGCCGCACTGCTTGGACCGGAATAGCCTGGAACGGAGAGGTTCCGATGCTCCAGCTTCACCTTCTGGTCTAGGAGACTTGGAAATTTGAAGATTCAGTGCACATGTCCCCCGTCTGCGCACTGGCACAAAAGCACGCACCACGAACGCACCAGGACAGACGTGGTGACGGAAGTAGGTAACACCCTAAAGCATGGTTCTACGAGGCAGGGGCCAGCGGTGACTCGCCAGGGTCGTCTTCAACCAACATGACCAAGAGGTTGCAATGGAACGGGGTTCCGCGTTGTTGAAGCCAGACACCTTGCATGCAAGGATGAGGACGCGAGAGAGAGAAGGGATGCAGGAGAAGAAGGCTGGAGGCTGGAGGGAGGAGAGGAAGTAGAAAGAGTGATAACACATGGATTAACGATCGGGTAGACACGAAGCAGGAAGGCAAAGATGAGAAGGACGGGGCGGAGTAGGAGAGAGGAGGCCAGAGATGGGGGAGGACGAGAAGGAGGGTAAGCAGGAGGGGTTGGGGGTGCAGTGGCATGATGATGTGGCAGCAGCGGTAGACAGGGAAGAGGAAGGTGAGGGGAGAGGAACAAGGAGTATGATGGGGATGAGCAGGGCAGGGATGCGGACGAGAAAGAATTACGATTACCATGATGATGATTCTTCAGCGCGCCAGAAGCCCACGTTCGACATGTACACAACATGTATGCTGCGCGTTTTGCGCGCTTTGCACTTATTCCAAAATTGGAGCGTGTCGCACTTCGAAGCTGAATGTGAAGGGCATGCGTGGAGCCATGGAGAATATGCTGTCCAAGTGAGGCCTGCGCTGACGGTGACAGTGTGAACACTCAGATAGGCAACGTCATATGCGCGCCCCACAGATGCTTCCCTGACAGTGCCAGGCAACAACAGTTTAGTTGGCCCATGATCCAGCAAACAGAAGGCTGGAAACAAAAAACAACTTATTTGGTTCGCCGCTGCACGGCAGCATGCTGTCAGCATGCCGTGTGCTTGAGACGGTGGCAAAAATACAATACACGCGAGCTCCGTGCCTCACCAATCTGAACACGTGAACCAACACCTACGGTAGGCAGAAGAAGGGGACGAGGAGGATGAGGAGGGCATGGTCCAGTTCATCTGTGTGTCACTGGCGCTGCTCCTGGACCGTGCACAGCGGTCCACGTCAAGACGCGCCCCCCACCCCCCCCAAGGACCTCGTCGGAACCCCACCAGTAGACCCTTCGAGGATCCGAACCGAACCCTGAAGGACCCTTCCAGAATTCCACCAGGAATGCGCCAGGGACCTCTTGGGACCTCACCCTGCACCCAACCAGGATCCTGCGACGGCCCTGCCAGGACTGTACCCGGACCCTGCCAGGGTCGTTCCAGGGCCCTGTACTATAAGGACACCGTCAAGACAGGAGACTACCACTACCCGCGCCGATACCTGGCAATGACCCTGCCGTACCCATGGCAGTTACATTGCCAGTACCAAGACAATACCAATTCCTACCTGACTTAGAAATTGCCCATACCTTACACAGATACTGCCAGGCAGCTTCGAAGACCGTTTCACGACCCCGCCAGATTGGGACCAGAAGCCCACACACACATGCTCGTCAAGCTGGAAGGATCCTGCCGGGACCCTTTAAAGACTCAGCCAGGAGCCCACCAGGGCTCTAGGTATTAGCATCGTAGCGGGACGCTTCCAGGACATTTCTGGCAGCCGACCTACCAGGAACTCACCTCGACTCGACCTGGATCATGTGAAGCTACTTCCAGAACTGCAGCGGAGTGCCCAGACATTCCCAGAAACTGTCATGCAGTCAGAAATCTAGATGCTCGCGTGTAATCGCTTTGTGAACTTACCAAGGTGTCCAAGGGCTTCAGATGGTCCCCACAGCCACTGGGGAATAAGAAACCTTCGTCGATCACCTCTGGAAGACTGGTCTCTCAGTGGATGCGCCTGCCGCACGACAGGACCCCGCAAAGAACCTGCCAAGGCCGTATCCAGGAGCCCACGTAGGACCCCTGCCTGGACCCTTCCAAGACCCCAGTCCAGGACCCAACTGAGGCCCCCCCAGGGTCCTTCCAGGAGCCTGCGAGGACCCCACGAGCACACTGCCAGGTGGATGCGGAGGACGGGAGAAGGACGAGAAGGAGGAGGATGCACGCACAGGAGCGCAGCGCTGCGGGCGACGGCGAAAGAAACTGCGGACCCAGACATGCGATGTCTTGGCTTCGTCAATACGGGCCCCCCAGAAGCCCCGACCCTTTCCCCGGTGCCAGCTTCTCATCCCGAGTCGTTTTGTGGCAGTCCCGGGGCCCGGCGAGGCCCCCTGGAGGCCGAAAGCGGCCGAACACCGTCAGTCGTACTCTTGTTCGCGACGCGCGCACGTCTGGGCCTGGAGCCCTCCCTGACCCTCCCGGGAGCCCTGCTGCTCTCCCCGTTGAGCCGCGCGCCCGGGATTACGAGGACCCTCGCGGCAGGCACGGCGAGGGCCCCTCGGAAACGACCCCAAACCGTCCGTCGGGTTTTGTTTGTATGCCGACGCGCACAGGTCTGCCGACTGCACACAGGGAGCGGACCTGGGCAAAAGAGTGGGGGGCGCGGGTGGGCGCCACAAACGAAAGCGAAAGCCGCTGCCATCGCATCGCAGTAAGCCATCCGGGGACGCCGGAGTGCCCGCACCAAAGGCCACTCCGGCGAAGGGTCACCCTTACGTGTTGCCGACTCTGGGGGCCACCCTGTGAGCGGGCGGCGCTGCTGGCGCATAGGCGGGGCCCCGCCGCCGCGCCTGCCGGCTCAGCAGGCGCGGTGAAGCTGCGTCGCTGGAGCGCTCTCGGCGGAGCCGAGCGGAGGACAGAAGGCGAGGAGGGACCCCATTGGGAGCGGGATCCTGGCCTTGCAATGTTGTCCCAGCGGGCGATTGTGCCGTGTTTCGGGCCCAAGGACCCTCACGGATCGATCGGGCTCGAAGAATGTCGCAGAAAGATGGGGGGCCCAGGGCTCTGGCCGAGTTTGTCCCACGATGGGGCAATAGTTGTTTCGTGACGTCGGATCTCGGGGAGGCACGGGGATGCAGGCTGGGAGTGGAGCAGCGCGAGGCCAGAGGCGCGAGGTCGGATGGGGCAAGCCTTCGTCACGCGCCCCAGGCTGGGCGCGCACGTCATCTGGCTGTCGCTGCACTCTCCACCCTGCGCCGCCGCGGCGGCCCCTCTGCGGAGCACGGGGCCAGCGCTGGGGACAGCAGCGACACGGCCCGCGCGCCCCTCCTGTGCTTCGGAGGGCTCTGGGAGCAACGGTCCAGCGCTGGGGACAGCGGCGACACGCTGTCGAGGCAGGGCGACTGCGCAGCCACCACCTGAGCAATGACAAGAGAGGGGTCTTTACGCACGACGGCATAGCGAGCGTACGCGGTGGCTTACGCGGACGTCTGAGTGGTACACCGCGTGGAGAAGAGGGCGCTTATGCGCGACCTGGCACGGGAGGCTTGCGCGCGAATGTCCGCCCAATCGACCTCGTGTTCTTCCGTCGCCCACCTGGTCAAGAGCCTCTTTCAGCATCGACGCCTCCTGTGTCCGAACGTCCCTGTGGCTGCGCGGGGTGAGCTGGGGGGACTTCAGTCGGACGGCCTCTGCACCTGCATACAGCGCGAGCTTAACTTTGCTGTGCAGCACGTCCTCGTGCAGCACGTCCTCTGCACCTGTAATCACCATGGGGACCTCGCTGCTGCCACTACTAATCTTCTCGGAACCCTCACGACTGGCGGCGCCGAGCTTGAGCGCCGAAGACTTGCGCCGACTGCGCGTGACCGCTGTCAGGCCCATCAGCAGCGGAGAGAGCCCTGTCGATGGCGGCGGCGGTGGTAGCGCGCTCGCTCGCCCAGCAGCGGCGGGCCTGGTCGGGCAACTGGTGCTGCTCATCGCTCTCGCGCGTGAGCCCCGGACTGCGCGTGAAGGAAATCAAGCCACAGCGGCTGCGGGCCTCGGCCTCCTCCTCCCCCCTCACCCTCCCGATCCATTACCGTACCCCAGGGCCGCAGGGCGGGGAGCGCGCAGCACGGCTCCCGAAGAGCGCCATCCTGCCCGCCCCCCCCTGACTAGCTGCGGCCCGTGCCCACGGATGATGCATCACACGGCATCTGCAGTCCGTGCTCTGCAGCGGCTGGCAGGTCGGACGCCCTGTTTTCTCGTGGCCCTGCTCTCTGCGAAACAAGTGCCACATCCTGCGAGTAATTCTAAACTTTGCTCCCCCCACAGTCCACCGAGAACGCACCACACCATCGTCATCCTCATCCTCATCTTCATCCCCATCCTCATCCCCACCATCGTCATCCTCGCTCTGGCCTTCATCCTCACCGTCACTCTCACCATAGACCCTCAACCAAGCCCTCAGCTTCATACTCTTTTGCATCTGCCATCCTCACTATAAATCTGACCCTCCGCCAGGCCCACACCCGTTCGTGTACCTGTTCAATCTTCCTCTTCGTTCCTCGTCATCCTCCTTCGAGCTTCGAGCTGTAGGTGGGCGGTTCTGCTGCATAGAGCTGGCGCATTCGGTGCATCCCTCCGAGGCCCCTGCCAGGGGTGGAGGGCGGAGCAGAACTGCTACCAGGGACAGTGAACCAACATAAGAGAAGGGGCAACAGCTAGGGGAACGACAGCACTGCGGGCCAACGGACGACGGAGGCCTCCCGAATGGGGTCCGAGTATCTGGGGTCGGAGGGCCGCGTCACATCGCCGAGGCATAGCCGATGCATCGCAGATGTGTTGCCGATGTATCGCAGATTCATCGGCCCCGTCGGCGTGGAGAAAGTCGGGCTACCCATCGAGTCGCATCGCCGACGCATCGACGATGCGACGCGATGCTGCGTCCCAATGTACTCGGACCCAATTTGGGCGGCCCTCCTCATCCTCCTCCTCCTCCTCCTCCTCCTCCTCCTCCTCCTCATCCTCCTCCCTCATCATCATCAGCATCATCATCATCACCATCATCATCATCACCACCATCATCATCATCATCATCATCATCATCATCATCATCATCATCATCATCATCATCATCATCATCACCATCATCATCATCACCACCATCATCATCATCATCATCATCATCATCATCATCATCATTATCATCATCATCAGGATCATCATTATCATCATCAGCATCAGCAGCATCATCATCATCATCATCATCCTCATCCTCATCCTCCTCCTCCTCCTCCTCCTCCTCCTCCTCCTCCTTATCATCATCAGCATCATCATCATCATCATCATCATCATCATCATCATCATCAGCAACAGCATCATCATCATCACCCCCTTGCCTGCTAAAGATTCAGCTCGGCTTCGAGTGTGGCCAACTCGAGGCTCGGCCGGGGCATCGGCGCAGCCGTCACGGGGCTGCTGCCAAGCTCGGAGCTGCCGGGGTGGACGCCTGCTCCAAAGAATACCCAGGGCGCGACCAGGGATGATTGCGAGGGGGGGGTGCTTCCACAAAAATTGCTGGGTTGCCAGAAGTGCCCCTGGCGCAGGGCGCCCCCAGCTTTTCGCTTCATCTGGGGGCCCCTGGGGCCCTCTGGGAGGCCATCTGGGCCGACGTAGGACCAGGACCACCTTTGGCAACCCTCACCACTGGAACGGGAAAGACGCCAGTCCCCACCATGCTGGACTGCGAGTCCAAGATCAGCAGCCAGCCGCACTCGGCAACCAGGTCGTGCATCGCCTCCATCGACCAGGAGACACCGAGCATGGCCACGACCTCCCCGCATGGCAGACAAGCCAAGAGGAGAAGAGAGGGAAAGACGCGGAGGGCGACGATGAGGATGGAACAGAACTCTGGAGGAGCCCTGAGCGTGTCCCCTGCCTCGCTGCAAAAGGCACACATGCTACAAAACAACTTGGCATGAGACATCTTGCGACACGGTGCCCCGGGGCTTCGGTGGCCTCGGCGGGTCCACGGGGCCCTCGGGCGATGCTTCATCTCCGTGGGCCCCCTGCTGGCAGAGTGGTTTCTTACTTGGTGTGTCTACTGTGCTGCGCTGCACTTTTCACGGGTCGCAGCTCGGCCGCATCAGGGCTCCGAGGCGGGCCACCGCGGGCCCAACACTTGCACCCCCTGGGACAAGCGATCGCACACCCCTGCGAGGGGGCACCAGCCCCGCCCGGCATCCTCAAAGGCACGCCGCCCCAGGAGAGGGGCCAGCCCACTGCTTAGGGCGTGTAGCATTTCTGCATCTCAGTACACCCCTCACACGTGCTGTAGTCCGACAGGGAGCCCCAACGAACGCCCAAGTTCAGAAGTCCACATGTAGGCCCCGCACTCACCTCGGCGCGCCTTTCCAGTGCTTAGTGGCCCACAGGGGGCCCCACCGAAGGCTCAAATTGCAAGCTCCGCACGGCGGCCCCGCACCCATGTCGGTACACCCCTCGCACGTGTCGTGGCCCCACAGGGAGCCCCACCGAAGACCTCAGGCGGCAGGCGGCCCCGAACTCAGGTTGGCACACCCTTCACACGCTCCGTGACCCCACTGGGAGCCTCCAACTGAGGGCCCCAGCGCAGGGTCCGCATGGCGGCCCCGCACTCACGTCAGCACGCCCCTCACACGTTCAGTAGTCCCACGAGGAGCTTCACCGAAAGCACCAGCGGCAGGGTCCGCATGGCGGCCCCGCACCCATCTCAGCACGCTCCTCACACGCTTCGCAGCCCCACAGGGAGCCCCAATCAATGCCAAAAGTCAAGAGTCCACATGGCGACCCCGCACCGATTTCGGCACGCCCCTCACGTGTGTCGTGGCCCACAGGGGCCCCACCGAAGGCTCTAACTGCAGTGTCCGCATGGCGGCCCTACACTCCTTTTCGGCACGCCCCTCACACGTGTCGTAGCCCCACAGAGAAACCCAACTAATGCCCCATTTCTTTTTGTAAACGAGTCCACATGGCGGCCCTGCACTCACTTCGGTATGCCTTTCAAATGTTTACTGGCCCACGGGGGGCCCCATCGAAGGCTCAAATTGCAGGGTCCGCATGGCAGGGAGCCCCACCGAAGACCTCAGGCGGCAGGGTCCGCATGAGGGCCCCGCACATTTTTCGGCACATTCCTCACACGCTTCGTGGCCCCATCGGGGAACTCCACCGATGGCCCCAGCGCAGGGTCCGCATGACGGCCCCGCACTCATGTCGGCACTTCTCTCGCACGTTCCTTAGTGCCACAAGGAACTCCACCGAAGGTATCAGCGGCAGGGTACGTATGGCGGCCCCGCACCCGGTTCAGCACGCCCCTCACACGTTTTGTATTCCCGCAGGGAGCCCCAAACAAATGCCCAAACTCAAGAGTCCACATGTAGGCCACGCGCCGATTTCGGCACGCCCCTCACACGTTTCGGGGCCCACAAGGGGGACCCGCCGAAAGCTCAAATTCCAGGGTCCGCATGGCGGCCCTACACTCCTTTTCGGCACACCGCTCACACGTGTCGTGGTACCGCAGGGAGCCCCACCGAAGGCACCAGCGGCAGGGCCCGCATAGTGGCACCGCACCAATTTCGGCACACCCTCGCACACTGCGAGACCTCATAGGGAGCTCCACCGAAAGCCTCAGCCGCAGGGTCCGCGTGGCAGCCCCGCGCACATTTCGGCACACGCCTGACACGTTTCGTGGCCCCAGAGGGAGCTCCACCGAAGGCCCGAGCGGCAAGGTCCGCACGACGGACCCGCACAACTTTCGGCACACACCTCACGCTTGCGCACCCGCATGTGGTTGGGTCCGTCGCAAAGATAACCTAATCTAGGCGTTTTTCCTCGATGTCGGCCTCGGGGGCCCCTCGTCGGGGACCAGGAGCATCACAAACGGATCCAGGACGAAGAACTCCCCACGGGGAAGGATCGGGACCTCCGGGGCCGCTGGACGAGATCACATCGTCGGAGGTCGGGGACGGTGGGGTGGGGGCAGAGGTTGGGTCAGAGGAAACTCGCTCTGACAAGGCTCTTGGAAGCAGGAACTGCGAGCGTCCAACTGGCATCGCTCCCCGATTGCACTCAGCACCCAGACGTCCTGGGCAGCCTGGGGCCCCTCCTTCCAGACGGCCACGAGGGCGGCGTCCAAGAGGGGGGTCGCAACGCAGGGCTCCGAGGCACGTGCGCGGCCCAGGGGTGGGCCCCAGGGACGCCATCCGACAAGAAGAGGGGCCACGTGGTCCGGGGAAGTACCATCGCCCCGGCCGTGAGATCCACACGCACACCCCGGGTCATCGCGGCAGCATCGGCTGGCGCGCCGGGGCCCGGGGAAGCAGGTGGCCGTGCGCGCGCTGCTGCAGCGCCTCTCCAGCAGGGCCGCGGGCACAACGTTCCAGGAGCCTGTGCCGCGCTCCCGACGCCACGCGGCGGAAGGACGCCGCCTCAACTCCTGGCCAGCGCGATGCCCCTCACCTGTTCTGCGTCTGGGTGGGCGAAGCACCTGCGATTCGTACACAGTCAATCCATCTGGTAAGGATGCGTGGTAAGGATGGAAGGGCCTTGGACGCCCATGCCGAGGCTCTTCCAGCGAGGCTGGCCATCGAAAGTGGTTGAGGATGGACCGACGATGACCGCCGAGACAAGGATGCAAGGATACCCTTGGGAAGTCGATTATCCGTACTATCATGTACATCGGGCCTCTCCGAGGTCGCGCCCCTGACGCGGATCATCCATGGGGGATGGACCCGCCCTCAGAGCTCGTCCCTTTGAAGGCCTTGTCGGAGGAGCCTTCACTTCCTCTGCGTCCTCGTCCTTCGGCACCTCCTCCTCCTCCTCCTCCTCCTCCTGTGATGCCTACACGACCACCTGGGCCAGGGGATCACGAGACCTTGTCCGCTGATGGCTGATGGCACGGCCGTTCAAGGGCATGTGGCCCGAGCAGCTCCAGTGTTCGGATACTGGGGCGGGTTTCGACCAGAAGGGGGACCAGGCGGAGAAGCGGTGGGGGACTCTAGCGCACGCGCCCTC